TAGGAAGACCAAACGGTCTGTCGACATTGCTATCACAGTGGACAAAAAAGAGTGATGGGGCTCATAGCATCGATGTTAGCATAACTGCTCCACTATGGATGCAGACATATGAAAAGTATAGCCTCACAAAGGCAGTTGCTACTGCGCAAGCTTTATCAGGTGAGAAATTAGAATACAGTAGCAGTAGCCTGCGTGCAGGCATTCCTCAACGAGGAAGCCTGCACGCAGGCTACAGTAGCAGTAAATAGACCGTAACCCACTATGATTATTGTAACTTTAAACAGCACTAGTCAGTAAGCAAGATCTCATATTTTGTTTTTTTTTTTGGTTCTCAAAATAACATTTCCATCCCCCCAAAACAATTCTACAAGGCTCCACTTAACACTTTGTAACCTGCTATCAACTCATTTCCTTCTATTAGGGTCAGATGCAGGACAAAATAGTACTGTTGAAAAGACAAGACATTTAAAAGATGAAATAACAAGAGAGAAGGCATCAAGGATATTACTTGAGCAAATGATTGAAGAGCAAAGACAACAGTTTCAATTAAAGCAACAAGAATTGGAAAATGAACAGAGGGAACATCAACAAACTGAAAGGCAACTGGAAGAGTTTCAGCATAGAATAAGTGAACTTGAGTCAACACTTGCTGCAGCACAGCAAGCTTTAGAAGCACATCAYAACTCGAGGGAGACACAAGACTGGGTGCTGGAACGACAAGAGATTGAATTAACAAGCACGATTATTGGGATAGGAGGATGGGGTAAAGTTGTTGAAGGAAGATTCAGAGGAACWGTGGTTGCAGTCAAGCAAATCCATGAACTTATATTATCACCCCATAACAGACGTCTTTTTGAACGTGAAATGAATATTGCAGCAAGGTGTCGTCATCCATGTCTTCTTCAGTTTATTGGTGCTACTAACGATAATGCCAGTCCTTTATTTGTGACTGAATTGTTAGAYACCAGTTTGAGAAAMGTTATGGAAGAACGYGAACTACAGAGTGATGAGATAACAACAATYKCACTGGATGTTGCAAGAGCATTGAATTACTTGCATCTTAATCATCCAACTCCCATAATCCACCGGGACATTAGCAGTGCAAATGTGTTGYTATGGAAACATGGAGATAGGTGGAGAGGTAAAGTGTCMGATTATGGCACTGCAAACTTCATGCAATACTCCATGACTATCAGTCCTGGTGCTGTGGTGTACTCGGCACCTGAAGCACAGACCTCAAGACAGTCACCAAAGGTAATAATTTGAAGAATACYTTCATTTCAAAAAACTTGGGAAATTTGTTTCCATGAAATGATGAAAATGGCAACAGGCCAGCAACACTATATTTCTTCCTTCAGAATATGATTTTAAAAACCCACACCAGAAACTTACCTATTGCTTCCTTCAGGAGATGATTTGAAAACCAAAAAAAATTCAGCAATAACTTTTAGTTTTTGGTAGATTTAAGCAGCCATCATACAGTTATGCTCAAATACAAGTGTTCACATAGCACCCTTCACAGGCAACGTCTCAAATTTTCTCTTTGGACTTCCTATGGAAAGAGCATGGGGTGGACYTGACGCATGAATCACAATTAAAGAGAAAACCAGGTTGCCTGTGMAGGAGTCTAGTGTTCATGTCCCATTGGACTAGTTTCAAGCAAGCAAATGAAAGAACCAGCATACTCAAAACTGATTTTGTTGCAGTAGTCGTCTTTTACAGTGGGCTGTAGTATTCCTTTCTTTTCTAAGTTCAATGTTTTCTTGAGTGTCTCTGTACGTGATCCATGACTTTGCACAGTCAAACAAAATCTGCTCTGATAGTGCCGTGTGTACAGTTCGTGGGATCCATGACTCTATTATGTTGTGTGCGCTTTAGAATCAACACTAATATTTTAATTGCTCAGTCCACCCTTGCTTCACACCATTGGCATGTGATTTGGACTATTAAATCTTACCATTATGTTTTTCTCTTTCAGGTTGATGTATATAGTTTTGGAATTCTCCTGTGTGAAATGAACACCAGAGAGTTTCCTGATGCAATGCGTAGAACTGAACAGGTTTCTAGAGTAAAAAATCATTTGCTAAGGGAACTTATAAAAAGGTGCTTGATGGAGGATCCAGAAAAACGTCCTTTCATGAATGATATTATAAGAGCACTTGAGTGAGCTCGTTGATTTTATGTTGAATAAGGTGGTATATTAGTATTTAAAATTTTGGAATCGATTTTCTAGATTTCTGGTCAGCTCAATATAGACATAAAACGGTATATTTAGTATGTACTTCTGGTAATATCAGCTTTATAAGGGGATTTTCATCTCCTGACCATAGAATGTCGCATATTCAAGCTTCAAGAAGACACTTTAATTATTCATCACCTACATGCAATAACACTCAACACATTTTTTACAAGTTAATGTTGACTATAAGATAATTTCATTCATGTGGTATTCAGGCGCAAACTGTGCTTAAAGAGCCTATTGGGGTCATATGATAAAGTATTAGCTGAACGAATCATTTCTTCAAAAGTGGTCTATATTATTCCAATTTGATATAAATTCGAAAAGTCGAAAAAATTTAAAGAACCAAAGCACATTTTTATCTATAAAAACTATACATGTAGCAATGAAATATAGCTCTATAAAATGTTTCCTAGAACTGAAACCTGTATTTGGGCGCCTCTTGTGCCTTATTGAGAGAGAGGGAAAATAGCCCAGATAGCAGGTGGAGCCAGCTGAACAAATGAAAAATATCTTCTACAAAATGTAATGTGTTTTCTAGACTATGCGGCTTCTTGATGGTCACCCCCTATTAACTATGGTTATAGAAAGCTAGTGTTTAGAACTGTAACAAGGGAAAAGTATCTGCAGTGCTTGTCTTCGCTTAATCATGGTGATCCTCTGATGATAACCGGGTAGTTTCCTCCAGAACCTTAAAGGCCACCTCTGAAATTTCATCCAGCTGCTGTTTTAAAACGCAGTATGTTGTAGTGAATGACATACCTCCAGCAATCACCGAACCTGTCACAAAGCGAGGAAGAAAAAATAAGTAGCTGAAAGCAGTCATAAAACGACCATGCCTCTGTAATGGCTGTTATCACCATATCATAGTCTACCGTGTTTAAATAAATTTCATGAGTGCATACATCTATATAGAGCTTCGCCAACGCAGAAAAATAAAAGAAAGCGTAGTATAACAAAAACAAAGCAAAAAWGRTGAACAAAAATGAAAATTAGTGACTTGGATGGAATTTCACACACTTCATAACTAACATGTTTTTCACGGTAGCACAAGCACAGGCTGTTTATCAGTGGTTCTAATGTAACCACCCCTCCCATACATGTATATTTTCCGTTATTTTGAAGATTTTGTATGATGTTGTTGAATCATAGATCTCTCACTTTAATTGCAACGAAATCACAAAACTCTTACATCCTGTTGTTGATGTACTGATGAAGTCAATTGATGAAGTACCTCTTTTTTGGTGTGAAGGAAGGTAAAAAAAACTCAAGCAAATGGACTGAAACTTCGACAGGGCATTGTTGCATACATCGATAACAGGATGTAAGAGGTTTACATAAGTCCTCTGATAAAGAGCCTGTGGTCCCTGTGATACAACATCATCTATCAACTCGTTGTCCACTCGACTTTGTGGTCTAATGGCTAAATATTACCCAGTATTGGAACCAGTAACCTTGCCACTTCCTCCAAAGCTGTCTCGGCGACGTAATATTTACTGAAGAGAGACGCAGCGCTGGCTATGGTCTGAAAAATTTGACTGATCAGAGCTTGAGTAGCCGGTTTCAACATTAGGAACTTCTTGCACCCTTCACTAGGTATGCCTAATTGCGACCTGTACAATTTCAGTTCTTTAGTAATCAAACCGATATCTACAGCGATTGACAGTCCCGGAATAGGGATGGCAGCGGAAACCGCCGATAAACCTGCGACTAAAGGAATTCTCGCACAAAGTAACTCGATTTTTTTCTTGAGGAAATGTTTTGACATTGCTTTTAAACTTAGACACAGGGCCTCTTTTTGGCGCATCGGAAGAACATCCAAGATAGCACACGTTAAACGATCAAAGTCCCATTTCAAAGGGTAATGGTTGCTGATCAAAAAGACGTCTTCCATATTCTTTAGTAAGTGGGATAAATTGTGCACACAGTCGTTGCGGATTTCCTCCAACACTGCTGTCTCGTTGAATGTTGACTTTTTACGCTGCTCTGCTCTTACGTTTTCGTCAATTTTGTTACGAACAAAGAAAAACTTCTTCTTCAAAGAGAGAATTATTTCAGCCAATTCCCAGTCTTTTTTAGTAAACCTGGTTGAAGAGAAAATGAGGAAGGTGTCATAGTCGTCTAGGTTGGTCTCCCGGCAGTACGAGTCCAGATCGGATAACCTTGGCGTGCCCACTCCCGGCAGATCAGTTAACTTGATCTTAGGATTGCTAGGATGGTCATAGCAGGTCGGGAACAGTGTTGTCTCTTTAACACCAACCTTTGCTGCTTCCTCAGCATCGTCATCGACCCTGAAAACCAAAATAACGTCGAATTTCATAATCAAAGTGTACGATTCCAGAATTTATAAATAAAGGAGGCTAATGAAAGGAGGAATGAGGCCTTACATCAAAGGATAAATGAGCGAGTTTATGAAGGCTTAAATGGAATTACACTTTTGATTGTAATGGATCTGGATTTAGCTACTGTACAGACTAAACAAAAAGATGAATTTAAATAATTTCCGAATTAAAATGTTAAAAATCCCGATAACAATTTGGGGAACAAAATTTATTCTACTACATCAAATAATGGTTGAATTACTGCAATTTTAGTATTTTTCAGATTATTATAAAATCCCAGGCCTTAACTTGAGGATAAACCGCGCGGGATGGTAGGGATAACACGAGAAAAGATCTGTAAATCACGAGGCGCCAGGCGAGTAGCCAAGTGTTCCCCCAACCATACTCATGAAATCCGCCAATCAGCGCGCGGGTTGGAATTGAGCTATAATATAAATATGCATAACTTGATTTTGCACCATATATAGAATTCCATACTATTTTAGTTTTCCTGGCCTGGAAATTTTGAAATTTGTCATGGAAAGTCATTGAAAAACCACTTGTCATCTTATTATTATGACTAAGTTCAAAACAAATGCAAAACAAATGAGTAGTTTGACGGAAAACTTTAGAGCAAGAAGAACCTAAATGGATCTCCAGCGACAGCAAGAATCCTGCAAATTATACCATAGAATTGGCACGTTTTGCTCGAGTACGAAAGGCAAAGAGAGATGCTGGTTTTGTATACGACTTATTTTTGCGTTATCATGTACTCTTGTTTTGTTACTATTGTATATTTACAAGCCAGGCGGACTATTTGAAGTGTTGTTTATAGAACGAAAGTGCATGTTTTATCGGTATATATAGATTCGAACCGCAGGCGAGAGGTCCAACATCCAAACATTGTTATCATTATAGAAAAAAAGCTAGAAAATGCGAAAACAGTGATAATGCATATTAAACTTCTAATGAGCATGTGTATTGTGCCACAATTGAAAGACCTTGAAAGAATTTTGATCCCGCACGGAAGAACGGCTAGTCTATGCTATACTACATGTCTGTACCTAGCAAAGGTCTATGATACGATATTAAAACTTAGACCTTTGCTAGTGTTGGGTTGCGATAAAGCGCTGATGAACTTGAACATCAGTTCTATATATCTGATCCTGATTAATAAAGCATCAGTTCTATATATCTGATATAGAACTGATTAATAAAACACCCCGGGATAAAACTTCAGTGCTTTATCACAGGGCGCCCAGGCTCAACAATTGTGTTGCTTTCACGGCGGTGTCAAAGTATTGCGGGGTTCRCGGTTCGAGCCCTCATGAAGCCGTAAATTTTTTCTACTTTATTTCTTCATTTTTTGAGACTTTTCAAGACTTTCTCTTTCTTTTCATTTTACGAGGGGGAAAAATATAAAAATGGCTTTAAAAATCAATCTTTATTCATAAAACTGTTTATACTTATTAAAGAAAAATGAAAGAAGAAAAAGTCTTGAAAAGTCTCAAGAAATGACGTAGAAAAAATTTACGGCTTCATGAGAGCTCGAATCGCGAACCCCGCAATACTTTGACACCGCCGTGAAAAACACAACTGTTGAGCCTGGGCGCCCTGTGTGCTTTATCGGTATATAAAGACCCATCATGTGACCCGGTTTGCACATGACGTCATCAGTCGAAAAAAATTCTAAAATCACAGACACACAAAATTACAGTACTAAAATACCATGAAGAGCATGATAGAAGTTCTCGCTGAAAGTTTCAACTTTTTTCGCTGTTTATTCGTTGAGTTATTAACGTTCAAAAATATGTCACGCAATACTGTTACGCGACTTGAAACACGCCAAATTAACCTCGGAAAGCCTATTAATCTTAAAACAAGTATAGCCTCATCATTAAATTAAATTTTTAGAATGATATTGTTGGAAAACTGAAGCAAAATCATTACTTTTGAGCTCATTTCGACACTGAGTTACTGTCCGCATGGTTGGTGTACTGGATTAGTACACCATCCAGGGCTTTCCCATATATTCCCTTGTAAAGTAAGACCGTATTCAAACGCTTATATTTTTGCTACAAAATCGCAGTTTCACTTCAAACTTTGCATAACTGTTGGGAATTATATGCTGTTTTTGACCTTGAACATGAAAAGTTCATTTCGATCTTAAAGCAAAGTCTTTTGTAGGTATTTCTTGACCCGTCTAAAACGCATTGAGCCGTGATAATCCCACACATTCTTACCAATTTTCGATCGCTCGTATTTCTGTTAAAAAGCATTATTTTGGCTCAAAATTTCGCAATAATACTTTAATTTAGATGTTCTATCGAGGACAATAATAACATTTCGCYAATTTGGCCTCTAAATAGCATTTTTAGAATATCGCGTGATTAGTGCAAACCAAGAAAAATTAATAGCTCATGTATTATTAATGAGATCTAGAACAGAGGGTTAGGATTGCATTTTGGGGTTCTAGTGATAGAACTTGACCGATGAGCCACCGAACATTGTAAAATCTTTTAAGCATTTTGTAAATTGTTAGTCTTGTAATGGAGTAATTCCAAATTAAAGGATACTTGTTAGACTACATCGTGTATGAAAAGCCGAGCGGGGTGTTCCTTGCGTGTCCTGTTGAACGAACTCGATTTAATGTAGTTTCTGATTCTTTTCGATAGAAAGTTTTTGGATTTAGCACTTCATTACTGCAGTTTTTTTTACCATTGGGGTGTATGCATGTGCGTTTTAAGACAAGCGTGCTATGAATTAATTGTACGAACTTTCAGTATAATTTTGTGAACATTGCTTCGAGATGGCGTGACATACAAGATGACTCGAATAATTTATCTCACGAGATAGCACGAAAATAAATGAATGGCGACCTCTAAAGAGCATGATCTGTATTCCCCTAGCTATGCAATAAAAAGACTTTTCTCGGTTTTTGCTGGATTTCTAGGAAAAGAGCCCGATGCATGTGGCAATTCTCGGAATCAAAAATCTTCCGTTTCCTCGTATTGTTATTATTTTTTGCACAATTCAAATGCTTCTCTCAAAAATGAAAATCTTTCTTTATAATTTTTTTGACACACTATTATCAAACTTACTCTCTTATAGCATTTATAAAGCTGGATTTGCCAGTTCCGGAATCTCCCGTGACACCGATGTTCACTTCAGCGTCTTGCCAGCCCTCCAGTTTCTCCTTGAAAAATTTGTCAATATTGGATATCCCATTTTTATCGATGAATTCCTGGACTTCCTCGTCGTAGGAGAACTGCATACTTATTAGGAGGATTTGTTTGTCGACACTTTGTTCATACACGACAACAGCAGAACGATTTCACAGAAGCGTATTTTATGCAAATCGTTTGAACATTAAACGCGCGAGTAATTATACAGACAAGGTCAGACAAATATATTGAATGGCCTGCTAATATGAGGATGCCTATCCTTCGAGTTAGGATTCTCGAGTCGGATTCTCGAGTTTGATTTTCGAGTTGGATTCTCGAGTTGGATTTTCGTATAGGATTTTTTATCTTTATATATTATATATATAATTAAACAGAGATAGTATTATAGCTTCAAGTTGGTGTTTTATTTAACTTTATTCTACTTATATTTATATATGAGAGGGTACATCACAAAAGGGGTCTTGTGTCTAGCGTGAAAATCCAGCCCTCCCAAAGAAGCCAATTAATTCACGGTGCGCATCAAAAGGGTCTTAATTCTTTAGATACCTTTTGTGCTGTCCCTTCTCATCATTGTCCTGACTGCAATCAAAGCCATCAATAAACGGAGCTTTTTTGATCAGTAATTTAGGCTTTTATTACCAAGCAAAAAGCAAACTTGGGGCGGTGTGCTGGTCTCTATCGTCCAGGTGCATGACGGTGAATGAGCGTTGGTGTGCGTCTGCGCAGCATCGGTTGATTAGCGTCTTGCGTGCTGTGGATAGTCTAAGTTCAGTCCAAGATGAGAGGGTACATCACAAAAGGGGTCTTGTGTCTAGCGTGAAAATCCAGCCCTCCCAAAGAAGCCAATTAATTCACGGTGCGCATCAAAAGGGTCTTAATTCTTTAGATACCTTTTGTGCTGTCCCTTCTCATATATTTTTCGCTTATCCCTTGAAATATACTTGAAATCCGATGCTTTGTTATGTTTGATTATCAATGTGCGGGGAAATACATAATGTCCGTGGAAATATCTCCATTATTTGTGCCTGAATGAACCATGTAGGTATTTCTCTGAAGTTCATAGAAACCGGATAACAATAAACGAAAAATTGCACCTGCGATCTTTGTTTAACGCTGATCGAGCTATAAAAACTTTTAGTTATACGTTTAGATCTGCTTTATATCCTGCCATAATCTGACGACAAACAAACCATCCGTTTAGCGCATTCTCGAGTTGGATTTCTCCGACGTAAAATAATATAGTAAATATTATAATATGTTCGTGAGAGCAATCAAAAGTACGTACAGTTTCAATAGATATTTTTATTGACAGCACGGCACTTTTTGTTCGTCCACCAACACGTCGAATAGATCATCGATTTCAACAAATGCGCTTGAAGAGACTTGAAGCCGTTTTCTGACTGGTATTTTTTGTTAGTGTGTGTCGAGGATACCTATCCTTCGTGTTAGGATTCTCGATCTAATGATATAAAATATACAGTACTGCAGTATTCCATATTATTGATACTGATTAGCGAACGAGAACTGTATGCGAGAAATGTATGCGCTACACGACCCTACACGGGTGATCTGTTTGTCGTCAGATGATGACAAGATATAATAAAGCAGATCTAAACGTACTGATATCAACGTTAAACAAAGATCGGACTCCAAAGATCGTAGGTACAATTTTTCGTTTATTGTTTTCTATAGCATCAGATKTCAAGTATATTTCAAGGGATACGCGAAAAATATATACATATAGAGATTAATAAAATTAAACAAAAATGAAAATCCTATACGAGAATCCAACTCGAGAATCCAACTCGAGAATCCAACTCGAGAATCCAACTCGAGAATCCTAACTCGACTGGTAGTATGTCTCTTGCAAAATATTATAAGAACTATCCTTTTTACGAATGTTTAACAGGTATTTGTGGTTTAATTTGTGGTATAAAGAAAGGTTTACAGCGATACAGTACTACCAGAAGTACATAACCAGAAGTGTCCATCTCCGCATTGGTATCGCCACCATCAGATGTCCCGATAATCTATTTTTAGACAACCAATCACAACGCGCGCACATATTACACGGCACCTGATTGGTTCTTGTTGATCTACTTCAAGAGCGGACAAGAAAGGAAAATTATGTAGTCGATGGAGGCGAACGAAGTGAAGTTTTCATTTACGAGAGTTTTACACCTTTTGCTGAACAACCATTTTTGAATTCGATAGAAAACATTCTTTACTATATGAGCAATGTAGCGAAGGAAGTTCAAGAGCAATATGGTCTGCGAAAACAAGGGAAAAGTTCAGACAAAAACGAAGAAAAATGTAAAACAGCGTGCTAAGAAAAGGAGTGTAAAGTAGCTTCCTTACAGTCAAATAGAGCTGGACTTAAACAAAGCCAAAGGTAAAGTAATTTTCGACTCTTAACGTGAAATGGAAAAGCTGTAAATTTTCAGGTAGGCGGGGCCGGTTTGTTTTGAAATTCAGACATTTCTTCGCACTCCTTTTGTCTGCATATTTTTCTTCGTTTTTGTCTGAACTTTTCCCTTGTTTTCGCAGACCATATTGCTCTTGAACTTCCTTCGCTACATTGCTTATATAGTAAAGAATGTTTTCTATCGAATTCAAAAATGGTTGTTCAGCAAAAGGTGTAAAAYTCTCGTAAATGAAAACTTCACTTCGTTCGCCTCCATCGACTACATAATTTTCCTTTCTTGTCCGCTCTTGAAGTAGATCAACAAGAACCAATCAGGTGCCGTGTAATATGTGCGCGCGTTGTGATTGGTTGTCTAAAAATAGATTATCGGGACATCTGATGGTGGCGATACCAATGCGGAGATGGACACTTCTGGTTATGTACTTCTGGTACTACCGATTCCGGCGTACCCTGCGAGCAGAGGAATTTTTCCACTCTCCTCGTAGAAGGAGGTGGAACAATCCTCTGTTCGCAGGGCAATTCCGGCGTAGTAGTGGCCTTGAATTTAGCGGAGCAGGGATACGCCGTGTTATGTAAATTTGTGTCTAGTATTCCACACTACGATGGACAGACTGAGTAGAAAATTTTTCATCAAGAACAAGAAACGTAATATAATTGCGAGTAGACTAGGGTCTGTGGGTACGGGAATGTCCAGAAACTTGCACTATTTTTGGCCGAGGTAAGCTGGAAATAGGAAATTACTCATATTCTAAAACAACGTGCTTGACCAGAACCTTCTTAATTATTATTAATTCTTATCGTAGTTAATAACTATGACTTTGATAGAAAAGCAATGCAATGCAACTTGAGTTCTACGTGCAACGCTACACGAAACAAAAAAAGTTGCTAGACGACTCAAAATTGCACAGGTTAACAGGAACTGGACGGAACAGTCCTTCTGACAATTCTAAGGATAATCAAGTAATTTAGTTTCATCAGTTTAGCTGTGCACTTACATAATCATGTCGTAGATTAAGAGTTTAGGAACACAAAATCGTCTTTATGAAATTAGCAGCTATAGTTCCTGTTTTAATCGATGTCAAGGTCATCTACCGATGACTGGGCAGCTTCTTCCAGCACCTTAATGGCAAGAGCCTCGATTTTTTCCAGGCACTGCCCCAATACGTAGTATGTTCCAGCGAATGACAGGCTTCCAGCGATCACTGAACCTGTATATAAAAGAAAATAAGCAAATAGAAATTAGTCAGATCGACAATGTTTCTCCAAAGGGTTCAGGACAGACCCCTCGCTGTGGTCACTGGTGTAAATGGTGCTCTGTTCAGGGAAAAATCTGCAAATTGTTTCTTTAGCACCAGAGTGAAAAACAGACCTTGAGAAGTGCTGGGTCAATCGTTGTTTTTATCATTTATAATAATATCATTTAGTTCTTTGTGTGATGGGGCGTGGATGTTGTTGGATGATGTGTCAAGCATGTTCAGTAGGAGTTAGGTGTTCGGCAACTTTACTATTTTGTTGGACAATCCAAAACTGTTCGGTAGTGTTTATAACAGTGGGAGCCAAAAGTAAATTGGTGTCTTATAAACTATACCCTGTACGTACCCTACCAACTCCCTTTCCAATGCACAAACACAAACCTTTCCCAATTATATCACCACAACCACTATTCTACACTGAGTAGCAAGAACTAATGGGAGTAGGGATCCTTATAGGCTCAGTCTCCAGCCGTCGGGATTTCGTGCGCCTGTGATACTCGGGGAAATCCCGACGGCTGGAGACTGAGCCTAGGATCCTTACCACCTGCAACTTTTTTATTTGTTCTGTACTAGTCGATGTTAAATTACTATGATATGACTTTACTACTGGCGCTAGGTTGGGGGTATTTGGTATGGGTAAGAACCGTCCCCAAAGTCGCGGTAATTGATTAGGTACAAGTATCATCTAATAGCTGTACAATCATTCTCCCTAATGAAAAATAATACCTATGAAAGGAATGAACCTTGCCACTTCCTCCACTGCTGATTCAGTCGCAAACGTACTCATAAGGGAGCGAATGGCCACCCCGTCAATACAAATACGTTTGATCTGATCTTGAGTATCCGCGTGCAGGGTTTGAAATCTTTCCGACCCCTCGTCCGGGATTCCTAACTGTGACTTATAGAACTTCACTTCGTTAAGTATCAACCCAAGATCTAAAGCAATTGAAAGACCCGGGATCGGAACAATAGCTCCAGCCGCCGATGCTCCTGCAATCATCCACATGCGCCCCTGAAGTACCTTGACTTTTCTCTTAAGAAGGTCCTTCGACAATGTTGTCAGGACTCCAAGGGTCAGGGACATGGCCTCTTTTTGGCGCGTCGGAAGAACATCCAGGATGGCGTTAGTTAAACGATCGAAGTCCCACTTCGAAGGGTCGTGGTTGCTGATCAAGAAGACATCTTGCCTTTTCTCCAGTAAGTCGGACAAATTCTCCGCACAGTCGCTGCGGATTTTTTCCAACATTGCTCTCTCGTTGAATGATTTTTTGCGCCTTTCCGCTCGCACATTGTCATCAATTTTAGTGCGAACGAAGAAAAACTTCTTCTTCAACGAACGGATTTTCTGGGCCAGGATGAGGTCGTTTTTGGTAAATCTGGTAGAAGTGAAAATAAGAAAGGTGTGGTACTGCTCCAGGTTGGTCTCTCGACAGTACGAGTCCAAGTCGGGGAAATTTGGCGTGCCAATTCCTGGCAAATCATAAAACTTGATCTTTGGGTTGCTAGGGTGGTCATAGCATTTTGGTTCCATGGTTGTTTCCGTAACGCCCACCTTGGCGGCTTGTTCGTCATCATCATCGAGTCTGAAAAACGCAAAGAACGTCGAATATCAGCATCATGGCCATTCCAATTCAAGAAGGGAGGCATACCAAGAAACATAATCCGCTTAAAACGCTGGTAGTATTGTTGTATTCAAACGATAATTCGAACCAACGTATATAAAATTTGGAAATAAAATGCAGATTGAATTCTTGATTTTAACTTTGAATCAAACTACGTTTGAAAAATGATAATGAACGTTCACCGGTTATGAGATCTTATTATATCAGTAAATAACGTATTTTTACAATTTCACTGGACGTCATCGATCTTTAATAATAATCTTTGCTTTACATGCTATCGAGTTACATGTATATAAAATTTGATGGGCGCAGCACGCGCTCTTACCGAAATGCAGCTCCATTATGTACTCCTTCAAATTTGCAATTTTACAACCTTTCTGAACATTTACGCTAAATACACGTGGGCGGAAAGCAAAGCTATAGGGGATATTCCCCTTGTGTCTAATAGTGAAATAAATTTCTTTCAATCTACATTTTGTTCTAAGGAAAACGTTTTAATCTAAAATCAGAACCGGGAAAGGGTACTTGGAATCCCGATTTGATGATCATTGCTTCGAAATGGCGTGACATATACATGACGACTATCGAATAATTTATCTCACGAGATAGCGCGAAAATAAATGAATGGCGACCTCTAAAGAGCATGATCTGTATTCCCCTAACTATGCGATAAAAAGACATTTCTCGGTTTTTGCTGGATTTCTAGGAAAAGAGACCGATGCATGTGGCAATTCTCGGAATCAAAAATCTTCCGTTTCCTCGTATTGTTATTATTTTTTGCACAATTCAAATGCTTCTCTCAAAAAGGAAAATCTTTCTTTACAATTTTTTTAACACACTATTATCAAACTTACTCTCTTATAGCATTTATAAAGCTGGATTTGCCAGTTCCGGAATCTCCCGTGACACCGATGTTCACTTCAACGTCTTGCCAGCCCTCCAGTTTCTCCTTGAAAAACTGTTCAATATTCGATAACCCATTTTCAGAGACGTATTCTTGGACTTCCTCAGCGTAGATTAGCTCCCACTCCATTCCAGTATCCATACTTTGCCAGAAGTTTTTGTTTCTCGACACTTTGCTCTTTGCTCTAGTAGACACGACTTGTTGTAACCGGTGACGTCACAACGTTTGTATGGATTCCCACTGGCCTATACAGCATTACAAGGTGACGTCGCTTCATCTTTTCTTTCCGAGTTTAATTGCTTATGCACGTATTGCAAAAAATGTTGTTGTTGTTGTTTTTTCACCCTTAGTCGAGATATGCGCTTATTACAATATGAAATAAATTCCTGTAAAAAAAGACGGAAAGATAATATAAACGTATGGATTTTCTTAGGAACTTACAGGAATTTTGCAGGGAGTTTAAATGAAGAATATACTTTGATATTTCAGTCAAGGATCATTTTGTCCCAAGTTAAAAAAAAGAATGCTAATGAGCGGTGGCTTCACTCACCCCTCCCCTCCCCCCTACTCTCCTTTTTGGTACTTCAAATCCATTCGTTAATCAAATGACTAATCTCAAAGTTAAAGGAAGCCCTTTCATTCTTTTGAAAAAACTGCACTACATGTTTTGTGGCATTATCAACAAAGGCAATAGATGCCGACTTAATTAATCAAGGAGAAGATCACGTTCTGATGACAGCGCGGCTTCTTCCAGAATTTGGAGGGCAAGCTCCTCCATTTCTCCCAGGTATTTCTTTAACATTAAGTATGTTGCACTGTATGACATGGTTCCAGCAATCGCCGAGCCTGTCATTCAAGGAAAATGAGGGAAAGTTAATAACTGGAAAGCATCGACAAGTCCTCTATAACAGGAGATCCCCACTGTATATTAACAAGGAATAGAGTTGTGCACTGCTGTTAGAACAAAGAATGTTATTTGATGAAATAAGAAAGAGAGACGGGAATACAAATAATGAAAATGTCAAGTAGAATTCTATTTGACAACTTCATAATTTGTATAACAAAAGACATTGTCTGACATAAATCTGCAATTCTTTGTTTTTTACTGTCTCGATCAATCAAAAGCTTTCGTTCTGACGGTAGTGGTCGACGGTCGACCCCTGGATTCCAAAACTGAATTGCAGTTTTTGAGGTGTTTTGAGTGGACTTTCACATTTTCAAGATGTACATTTGGAAAAGTTAGTTGTCAGTTACTATTTGTGATATCAGTGTTTATTCAACGTTAAGAACCATCCACCAACTACTTTATCTGGATGGTATCTGGAGTAATGATAATTCTCGCCAAAAGAAAATATTACCTATGACTGGGATGAAGCTTGCCACCTCTTCCACTGCTGACTCGACTGCAAAGGCACTCAGAAGGGTGAAAACTTGACTAAAACTGATACAAGTACGCTGGATATGTTGTTGAGTATCCGCTCTCAGGACTTTAAATTTCTCCGACCCCTCGTCCGGGATTCCCAACTGGGACTTATAGAACATCACTTCGTTATAGATCAAAACTTGATCTACAGCGATTGAAAGTCCCGGGATCGGAACAAGAGCTCCAGCCGCCGATGCTCCTGCAATCATCCACATGCGTCCCTGAAGTACCTTGACTTTTCTCTTAAGAAGGTCCTTCGACAATGTTGTCAGGACTCCAAGGGTCATGGTCATGGCCTCTTTTTGGCGCGTCGGAAGAACATCCAAGATGGCGTTTGTCAAACGATCGAAGTCCCACTTCGAAGGGTCGTGGTTGCTGATCAAGAAGACATCTTGACTTTTCTCTATTAAGTGGGATAAATTTTCCGAGCAATCATCACGGATTTTTTCCAACATCGCTGCCTCGTTGAAAGATTTTTTGCGCCTTTCCGCTCTCACGTTGTCATCAATTTTAGTACGAACGAAGAAAAACTTCTTCTCCAACGAACGAATTTTCTGGGCCAGGATGAGGTCGTTTTTGGTAAATCTGCTAGAAGTAAAAATAAGGAAGGTGTGGTACTTCTCCAGGTTGGTCTCTCGGCAGTACGAGTCCAGGTCGGGGAACTTTGGCGTGCCGATTCCTGGCAAATCATAAAACTTGATTTTAGGATTGCTAGGATGGTCATAGCATTTTGGTTCCATGGTTGTCTCTGTAACGCCTACCTTGGCTGCTTGATCGTCATCGTCATCAAGTCTAAGAAATGAAAAGAACTTGTCTTTTATTATAATTTTCACTTTTGAAAAATGTCACTGATGATGACAACCTTTTCTTAACTTGGAATGCCGATAGTATTTCCCCAACAATTGCTCAAACAGAATAAGAGATAATTATAGCAATTATAGCACACGACGATTCGAAGTCATATTTCATCCCGGAGTTCATCGCTATACGGTTTGTCTTTTATGGCTTTACAAAGATGAAAAATCGATTTCTCCAAAATGATATAATTTTTTCTTCGGGCTGGCTAATTGTTAATGCTTATATTAAGTGGTATATTATTGCTAAGCACGTTTATTGCGTTTTTACAGTCATGATATCGCGATTTTTCTCTAAAAATCGGTCCTACGAATTTTCACACCTTTAAAAGAAATTTGACACCCCTGAAGCAAAATTTCGAAAGAAAATTTTATAGACATTAGATCCATCAAACAATTATTCTGAAAAACGCCTTTGATTTTTTTTAAAATAAGCAGTACCTTAAAATCTATCGATTTCGAATGTCACGCTAAAAACCATGTGGTCGAAAACCCTAGATACATAACTCTCCTCAACAGATCAGTGTACAGATAAAGGAAAAGATTTCCATTTCAGGGGATTTCCCACTGCAAAAATGTTTCATCCGGTCAAGAAATCTGAATAGTTGTTGTGAATCGACTATAAAATATAGTCATATAGGGATTCCTTCCCTTTGTTTTCGACAAGATGGTGAAAGCAAAAATGATTATTATTTGATTTCAAAGGAAAACGAGTCAATTCTAAGATCAGAATTCATTGGTAAAAGTTGTATTTGATTTTATTTAAATCCTGCTGATAATGGCGTGACATGAGTTGCGAATGGTCCAGTTCTATTGCCAGGTCAAATAAATATATTCACTGATTGATTGAAATAACATAAAATAAATGACAATTCGGTTCTAAAGAAAGAAATTTGTATTATAATAACAGCCATTTCTCGTTTACAATTTAATTTGGCAGCTTTGAGATAACTTATTAGTCACGGAATTCTAGGAAAAGAACTCGATACATGTGTCAGTTCTTGGAAGCGGAAATTTCTTGCATTTCGTATTTATGATATTTTGATATTAGATATTGAAATTATACAAATTTAATGCAGTGTCGCGCATATATAAACTGTATATAAGTTTTTAACACAGTATAGAGTGAAAACAATATACCTTTATAAAAACATTGATATAGTTTGTCCTACTGATAGGCCAATGGAAAGCAAAGTACTTTAGAATAAATATCATATATAGAACTATTTTGTTAGCTATCTTATTCATAGGTATATGGGCTGCACTCTTATAGAACTATTATAAAACTCACTCTCTTATAGTATTAATAAAGCTGGATTTGCCAGTTCCGGAATCTCCCGTGACACCGATGTTCACTTCAACGTCTTGCCAGCCCTCCAGTTTCTCCTTGAAAAATTCGTCAATATTGGATATCCCATTTTCAGAGACGTATTCTTCGACTTCATCGGCGTAGAGGAACTCCCACTCACCATCCATAGGTAGTTTTCTTTACTTTGTTCGCACACGATAACTGTCTGGTTATTAAAAGTATCAGTATCGTTCCCATCTGACCTTTATACTACTGTACAAGATCACACCATGTGACCGCAAAAACCTCTTTTAGGTAACGCTACTAAGCTTAGGCTTCCTAACACTTAATATATTACTAAAGTATTCCTCATGTACAGTGTGCGAAAAAAAAAAACAAAAACAAAAAAAGGCAAATAACACAGCAACACGAGGCATCCACGATCATAGACACTGTAAAAAATCCCGCCTGGTATATATAGACAGTTGCGTCGACAATAAACGATACTACATCTTCCAAAAAAAACACTGAAGCTGAATAGTTTAAATGTATTTACTTCCCTCCCTTGGTAAACTGCTTTTTTATATAGCCATCTCAGAATATGCGTTAAGAATTTTGAAAGAATGCGTTTTCGTGACGTCATGCGAGTCGTGGACTTACAGACCATATCATTCTACTGCGCACTAACTTGTAAATCCTACTACAAACCCACTTCTCCCTATCGTGATAAATTTGACTCGACTCAGACAGACAGACGATTTTTATTTGGTGCAGTCAATGAAGGTGCAGTTCAATGAAGGTTCAGTATTTCCTTTTATATTTCCCGATTTCAAATTACAACATACAATCCTGAATGTCCTAATTGTTTGATAGCTTCCATTGAGAGCTTCATCCTAGCTTTCAACTATTTGCAGGACAGTTTGGCAACCTGTTACACTATAATCATTCTTTGAAAGTCATATTTACTTGAACTTGAATTTTTTGGATAAAGCAATTAAAGTATATATACATATCGTTATATACAGCTGTTTGCAATAATTCTGACCCCCCTACACTAATATTCATATATATCAAAGTAGCYTTAGAAATTATGGGATACCAATGCTGATATTTTTTTTAGAAAGTACTCATTCTGGACAACTCAAAAAATATATCAGTCATGATATCCCATAATATTAAAGGTCAGTTTGATATATATGAAATATGGCAGAGGGGGTCAGAATTATTGCAAACAGCTGTATGTTTCGTAAATCGTGCATGTAAACAATAGTAATGTAACTGTCTTTTATTCGTTCATTTGTCTACAGTATTTATATAAAGTACTTGTTCATTTATTAGTGTATATATTAGTGCTGAGTTCACAGTGTGTACGAAGGATACACATTATGCTACTGTCACGTATCATTAAGGTCCAATAATTTCAGACACAACACTCTTACACCAAGACCAATCTCCCTCTTCCAGACGATTATTGCACAGTTCCTTTACAGACGTGAACCTGAGTATTCTGAAGAAGTTTTAATAGTTTTTGAATCCAGTATTTCTATAATAGTGACAGATTAAGTATTTGCGGCTAAACATGTTTGTAAAAATCGAAGTAGTGATCAGTGATGCACATATAATGACGTCACAGCATGTTTACAGTGGGTATAAATACTACGAAACAGTATATTCTCTAGGTGTTTTATCTAGTTTTGTTATATACCATGTATCAAGGATCATGTACTACATTTTCTTTGTGGATGTCAGCGATTCTGTCTCCCTATATATGGCAATCATAATCCATGACGTTAAAACAATAGACCCCTTGGGGTTAGTTTGTGGGAATGCAATTCCAACTGGAGGACAAAACAATAGATTCTAGTTCCCAAGAGGGCAAAAATCTTTTGGTTTGCCCTCCAAATGAAGCCGCTTTGACGTCACATGCAAAGGGTTTCACTGGAAAAAATCGCGCGCTTCGAAGGTTGTAAATTTGATGTAAATATGTAGTAGTGTAAGTGTCCAAAATTCTGTAAATTTAATGGAAATCATTTACATCAAATTTACAGAATTTTGGACAATTACATCATATTTACATCAAATTTACAACCTTTAAAGCGCGCGATTTTTTCCAGTGTTTATAAACTGTTTTGATGTGATCGACGGAAATTATTCCAATCAATCCTGTCAATCATAATAATTCATGCATGTGGTTGTCACAGTGACTACAACTTCCCGTGCTTGAAACGTAACGGTTGAAAGATCTAACTTAATAACACAATCACTATACCATTAAGAATGCGCAGACTGGAATCATTGAAGATGGCCAAATTCGAAAAACACACGAAATACATCCTTCTAAAGGAATCGACTAAGTGGCATAGTGGAGCTGGGTCGTTTCTTCCCGGTGAAATCATGGAAGAATTGTCAGCTTTGCGCGTCGGAGCAAAAATTTCTTTGCGCAAAGCACCCATCGGAGATGAAACACCTGAATTTGAAAATTTGCTTACATGCCTCATATCCGATGTTGGAAAGCTAACAGACAGCGAAGCTGATTTACTGATGGCTGTTGGATTAGAAAAAAGGCTTTCTATCTATGTTGAAAACAGTCATCAGTTGAAATTTGGAAAAGATTTGAAACTTGGAAGTGAGGTTTTAGTTCGTTTGGAAGATGGGCAAAATCAATCTGCAGGAATAGTTCGATATAAAGGACCGCATTCTACACCCAATACACACCCTGGTGTATGGTTCAGAGTGGAACTAAAGGTAACATGATGTCTAATATGTTTTTGTAAGTTTTTTATATTTTGCTGAGTTGACGTTTTGTTAATACAAAGTGTAAAGAGAAACTTTCAATCACCAAGTATTTACAACAAAATTTAAAAATAATTGGGCTCAAAACGTTTTCATCATGGAAGCTAATACCTACAGGGAGTGTATAAGACACCAAATTACTGGAAATGCAACGATGGCTGATTAGAAATCTCTCTAGACTATTAGTAATGGTCTATGGCAAACTACTAATAACTATTAGACTTATTGTGCTTTCATGGTTGACGGAAAACCACTCTACGGCCTAAATGCCTAAGTCTCTTGCTAAGTCTCGTTTCTTCCAGTTTATATCCTTCCTCAATAAACAAAACAGTCTACTGTAAGCTGTGATCCGTAATCGTGTAAAGATCAGTTGTTGGCTGCTAAGTGCAATAAATAATATCACGTTAAATCATTATCAATATTCGATACTAAATATTTCCGGAAAAAATGCTCTACAATTTTCGACAAAATTTGGACAATGGGACAAATTTGTTATTTTTAATTTTCCAAAAAGGGCATAAATGTTATATTTTTGTACAAGTAGAAAATGTTTGTATGACGTCAATGCAAACGCAGATTGGAAGTGCCTTTATTAACTCTCGATCACGTTTAGCCACGCCCACTTAATAATGCACTGGTGCTGTAAGGAAAAGGAATGTATGAGTTATTTTAATAAAAATAAATAAAAATAAAAAAAAACGTTGAATCGAACACCATTCAAAGGTGCTCCTTCGTGTACCGGGAATGTATGGTTGCCCCGTTATTTTGTTAAGAATTGATCCATTTTAGTTGTATCGAGTTGGTGCCCCATACACCAAGGACCAAGAACTCTATTATAACATTAGCTGACCGAACATTTTTAACATTTTGTCCAACTTGCTTGATGGTTGTGGTATGAGCATTAAGATGTAGGTGGATGGAGTTTCGCAACTGTGATCTGAGAATTTGTTTGGTATTCAGCAATGCCATGTTCGATGGTCTTTGATATAATTCTTATCAAACTTTTCTCGTTTGGCCTCGGCTGAAACTTGAGTGTTTGTCTTCAAAAGCTGTCTTAGCGGAAAAAAAGAAAATTATAACAATAACAATAAATACATTTATGATGAACATTCATAAAATATTTACAATTTGAAATATAAAACGGATAAAAATATATCTATATCTTTTAAAAATTGATTAATATCTACTGGATTAACATTTAAATTAAAATCAAATAAAAATTGTTTGTCCTTATAAGAAGGGACTCCAGAACTGCTTGGCCGCCCAGGGAAATAATTGTCTACCTGTCACTCATCATTATCAAGAATAAACAAAATATAATACGAAAAGTAAATACAGTAAAAACCCGCGTATAAGAACAAGTGGATTCAGAACACCCAGGCCTGATTTTAGGAAATAAAGTACCATTTATATAAGAACACATTCAGCCTGAAAAATGACAGTTGTTCTTATATGGAAAAATATCAACACGACTTTTCATTGCAAACATAATAATTCCAAACCCAATTATATGTAGCAAAATATTAAACAAAATAATAATCATTGTATTAATTAATTAAAATTGTATGCATATATTTTAATTTCATCTATTGGCAGCCTAGTATGAGAAACTTTTTTTAAGATCACTTAAGAACATTTACAGGCTGATTTTGCAGATTATAACCCTTTATATAAGAACTAAATCAGCCTGAACCGCCAAAATAGGTGTTCTTATACGCGGGTTTTTACTGTATTATTAAATATTCTTTTTTATTTCCAAATGTTATTCATTATTCCAAAGCTTTTCTTATAGATACTTGGCATACCTTTATCATTTATTAAGTGCCTAGACTTATTGTTTATTATTCATTATAAGAATTTCATATAATGTAATGTATAACATAATGTTAGAGTAAAACTCCATGTCACTGTTTGGTAGCTTTATGTATTTTTTGAGGACTGATTTATATTTAAAAAACTAAAGATAAATGAATGTGGACTGATTTGTGTATCTCGTCATGAGTTACATCAATTGATATTTGTAAACATCATTACGTTTGCTATGTAAAGGAAAAATAGTTTACCATAAAAGGAAAAGAGACCCTGACTAAGCATAAAATGAGTAGAGAGAAAACACCTAATCCGTGACGCTTGAATAATTCAAAATAGTAATAAACTATGCTAATTCCTTTGTTTTTAATTGTCTAATCAATACTAGAGTCATTTTTATCCGTCTGTGAAACAATTACTACTAGTCAGTGTTTGATAGTGTCTAATAGTTGTATTACAATAAAAGAAAGCAATGGGTGTAGAGTCTACTAGCGTCTATTAGCGTACGAACTATTTCACAGTCCGATGAAAATCACTCTATTTAGTAGTAATTAGCACGGTTTTAGTACGTTAACTCTACAAAAGATGCACAACTCGTGAAGTAAACAGATATTTATTATTACTTGCGCTATAAGCTCGTCCAGTCAGAGAAAAACAATCATTTTTGAATGGCATATTGGAACTGCTTTTGTTTGGATCTTCTAGGTTCGCGCAAGCACGAAGTGTCTGGAATTTCCGGCGATGAACATTTTTTTAAAAATTCTGATATATAGGGAAAAAAAGAATGCCTTAGTTATAGTATATATCATTTAGAGCTAGATAACATGCATTCATGATTTTCTAAGTATTCCGGGTGTGACGTTGTCTACCGTAGTTTAGTTCAACCTTCGTAACACCGGAACCAGTTCGTATTAAATTCGAACAATTTTGTTTTTTTTCAGAACCTTCCTGGAGCTTTACCGATGGTTCCTTTGGATAGAATACAAAGGGCTGATCAGGTGGACGGTAAGAACTGTAACCACAGTCGAACCTCTATTAAGCGGCCCTCTATTTAGCGGCCACCTTCCATTAAGCGGTCGTCACTCATGAAAATAAACATTCATCGAAATGGGGGGTACTGTGATACATGACCTCTATTAAACGGTCAACCTCTATTAAACGCTCACCTGTTCTTTCCCGAAGGTGACCGCTTATATAATAGAGGTTCGAGTGTATTCACTTATGTAAGACCGAGGGTCTGTAATTATGCCGACCTGACATTTTTGCCGCAGATTATGAAGAAATTGGTGCTCAGAATCTTATGGTTCCTTCGGATAACACACAAGGTAATACTATAAGTATAAGGAGGAGGAGGAGTGGAAGAAGAATACAAAATATGGTTACAATGTTTCATCCTAATTATTTCTTATTGATTAACCCAATTCCTTTAATAGACGGTTTCACTAATACAGACGCCATCTTGAATTCTGTTGAGTGTTTTAAGCATCGATTCAGTAAGAAACTATAGGATGCCCGGGGGCGCTAAACAAGACATCACGTCAGTTAGAATGATTTAGAATGATATGAAGGCAGAAATTATGAGAGAAAGTGGTTTTTCTGCTCCATTCTATGCAACAACGTGTGCCTTTGGCTCCTGGAAATCCCATTATATATTCAAAATTCAAGATGGCGGTCTTATAAGTAGAAAGGTCTATTGGGAATAGTCAAGATCATGTCGTAATGCAGCAAGTCACAAACCAACTTTGGCCCATTGTAAATTATAGTTTTGGCGAATGAAATACGTAGCTATCGTAGAAAAGTTTTATATAGAAGACGAAGTGTAGACTCAGACTCTTGTTATAACTCATCATTCTACACAGAAGAATCTACAAATGAGGTATGTAACGCTCTCACGTCAACCATAACCATTTCAATTAGATGAAAATAATACGAGTTAAGCATGTATTTCATTTAAGGCGAGGCTGTTTCGATAATTAATCAGTCATGGTATAATGTAAACATGATTCACGTTATTGTTTGTCCATTGCTTTATTAACCTAACGTGAGGTTCGTTCCTACAGGTGCTGACTGTCCCCTACATCTCCATAGTCTAGCTACAATCGTTGACAAAATCCTTGGACCATTCCAGTGAATTTCCTCATTTTAAGCAGCACCCGCAGACAACTTCATCCCCCTGACCCCCTAAATGCAATGTTGTCATTGATCATGTTACCATAGTACACAAGCATCCAAAACAAGACCCAACATTGATAAAGGGGGCTACGGGGGAAAACTGTGAAAAAATAAAGGAGAAAAATGTTAGGCTGGAGACAAATAATACTATGGTCCAATGTATTTTCGCAACGATTGTAGAAGTTTTATCATGTCCTGTCCAGTGCTCTTCATATCAATGGCGCGTTGAATGCTCATATCATTCGACCAGTTGGTTCTTATTCCTTAGGATGGAGAACAGATGGATCAAGGAGAAGAAAAACACCCCTTCAAGTTATCTTTACAAGATTTAGAGAGCACTCCATTTTACATTGAAGGAAAAAAGAAACTAGAAGGAGAAGTGAAGACGATAACAAATATTTCCAAAGAATGCTTTGAAGTAACAGTAGAGGTAATCGGATATCTTTCACCAAAATGAACAATAAACCCTTTTAGCAATCTCTTTTACGCTGTGTTAGTCCCAAAACCATGTAATAAATTCTTTTATCCACTAGCAGTCAAATCCAAATGCAAGAGAGTATAGACGACAACTGAAGTATTTTGAAATTTCACGAAAAAAACATTTCTGAAATTTCTGAATATTTTGCACACAAAATTTGAAGCTAACACAGCGTAAAAGAGATCGCGAACTCAACTATTCATAACTCAAAGAGCCTTTTTAGAACCACTCTTTTAAGAGTTAAAACTTGAAAAAAAAGTTTAAAGTTTTCAATGCTTGTTTAAAAAGGTGATATATACAGGAAGAGCTAAAGGGTTTGCTCCTTTTTTGGTTACTTCATGTGCCGGGTCTTTTTGCAGGTGACAAAAAAGAGATTTGCGAGAAAAAGTCAGCCTCAATCAATGAAAGTGACTTTTTGTCCGCGGAAGGAAATGCTAAGCCTGGACGGTAAGTCGAAAGAGTAACAACCTTCCGTGAACCCTTCAATTGGCCTTTCCGAAATTGAAAAGGAGAGTGAAACGAGTATGAAAATAATTCACTTATCGAAACCTGAACCTCAGCACATGAAAGACCATACTCAGTACATAAGCATTGTTAGCGACCCAACACTCTTATTAACAAGAATACCTCAATAGTCTTTCATTGGTCTTTATGACTTTTCAGGGGCGGATCAAGTGGCGGATCCAGGATTTTTCAAAGGTAGGTTCCACTTTGTTTTCGCATTTTCCTAAAGCGAACTTTTTTACTATGCCTCTCGAAGTCATAGCAAATGTAGCGTGAATGCATTTAATAAAGATTCATTGTACGATGTTCATTATTGCTGTTTTGGTTTGGATAACTTTCCCTTCTGTTTTTATCAGACAAACAAGAAACACGAAGTAAGCAGTACTATATTGATGAGGAAGAAATAGGTAGTACATTCGAATATTTAGATCAAGTACTCCTGAACGAACAACGCGAATCTTACTTTAATGGGCAACTGGAAGCATATCAACGAGAACTTGAATTGGAAAGAATCGAACATGCAAAAACTGACAGTGACCTTAAGAGAGAACATGAACATCACGCAATCACACATGATGAGCTCCAGTGGGAACTGCAGGCGCACTCAGTCACAAAAGATAAACTCCAGGCGGAGACACAAGCACACGCATCCACGCGAAATCAGCTGAAAATGGAACAACAAGCATATGCCTCCGCGAGGGAAGAACTCCGCAAACAGAAGAGGCAACATAAATTCAATAGTGATACGCACATAGCGTTCATCTACACCTATTTTGACGACCTTAAAAACGAAAAACGAGACCATGAACACACAAAAGATGAGCTTCAAATGGAACAGCAGGCACATGAGATTACACGACAAGAACTCCAACAAGAACGAGAAATCAACTCTGTGTGGATCCTCGATAGAAGTGACATTGAGATGACCGAGGAGATTGGTAAAGGTGCATATGGAACTGTAATGAAAGGAAAGTTTCAAGGAACTGATGTAGCTGTTAAACAAATGCATGGAATTTTGTCATCTGGGTTTTACAAGCGTCTCTTTAAACGTGAAATGAACATTGCCTCTCAGTGTCATCATCCCTGTCTTCTTCAGCTCATCGGAGCTACAAGCGATGATCGAAGCCCACTTCTGGTGACAGAGCTGCTGGACACCAATCTACGGTCGGTCTTAGAGGAAGAAGGTAGATTACAACTTCCTCAGGTGATCATAATCGCACTTGATGTGGCAAAGGCTTTGAATTATCTCCACCTTAAGCAACCAGCTCCCATAATTCATCGGGATGTCACCAGCGCTAATGTGTTGCTTTGGAAGCGAGATGATATGTGGAGGGCTAAAGTTTCAGATTACGGTGCGGCAAACTTCATGCAATACGCCTCGACTGCCTGTCCTGGTGCTGTGGTGTACTCTGCACCCGAAGCACAGACCTCAAGACAGTCACCAAAGGTAAACGTCTTCTCTACTTCTGGTTCTTCTCCCTGGTATCTACCTTTTCATGATAAATTATAAGAAAGCATCACTGTTACATCCTTTACTAATAAGCCTGACCTCCATGTCCTCGTGGAAATGATGGTATTTTCAATAAAGAATTTGTTAAGTAATGTGTAAAATCATTTTCTTTTAAGATCGATGTTTACAGCTTTGGTGTACTGGTGTGTGAAATGAGCATTGGAGAATTTCCCGTTCCACCTGAGCGCGAAAGACAAGTTTCCAAGGTCTCCAACCACGACTTGCATATCCTGATTAGGAACTGCTTGCGAAGAAATCCAAACAAACGACCCTCTATGACAGACAYAATTCTTTACCTTGATGATCTGTGATACAACAATGTTCTCTGATGGAAATTGTTCAGTGAGAAAACAGAAGCTGTGGGCATTGGATATGAATGCTGCTGTATATATATAATCATTTGCCATTTCTGACAAACTGCACAGTATATATATATTCTTGCATTTATTTTTTCATATATACACCGTATTTTTGTGAAATTTTCTATCGATACTTACCATATTTTTATTGGTAAAAGAGAACTGGTGTGTAGTGTTCATTTGCGAGTATAAAAGGCCACTCAATCGGCATGCAACGCGTTTATGGCTTAGATTTTGCAGAAAATAAGCGGACTTCAAATATTCGTTTACACTTCGTTTCCATCCGTCGTTTTAAATATAGTTTACAACATTCGCGGCCGTGTTGTATGGGAATTACAATCTCGAGCCACAGGCGATAGCAATTGTTATTTTTGCAGGTTTTTGCAGCGCAGAGTTATCCTGTAAGCAGTATAATTAAAGTTTTTTTACAAACCAGCGAAACAAAGTGTTGCACAATATAGAGTATTAGTATAAACATGCTAATGGTCTATCACTCATACTGCGCTGTGATTGGCTACTCTACTAATGGTCTAATTTATGATAGACCACTCGCGGGAAAATCAAAATAAATAAACTATAAATTATAAATTATTTTAAGAATGTTTCAATTTGTTTTCATTATTTGACCGATTAGTATGTTTATACTAAAACAATTAGACCTCTCGGCCTCGTGGACTACGAGCTAATAGCCCATTCGGCCTCGCGGACTCGGCCTCATGGGCTATTAGCTCGTAGTCTACTCGGCCTCGAGGTCTAATTGTTAAATAGAGTGTGGTAAGCCAAAGTATATTTAATCATGGCTTTATGAAACTCACTCTTTTAAACCTTGTCGAGACACTAATATAGAACAAATGTAATATAGTGCATTCATTAATTTATAAGGATTGCGCAATTTAGTTAGGATGCTATTTCACATTGAATTAATGTCTTTTGTAATTTAAATGGTGTCGGTTTTGATAAAAAAAAAACATTCGCAAAGCATTCTGGTAGTTGTAACTGATGAAATGACGCCACCGTGCGAATGGTCTAAGAAATTTTTAATTGTTTTTCACGTTTTAAGATATGACATTTAATCTGATAGACTTCTTAAAGCACTACAGTCTATGAATTTCATGTTTCCCTTCAACGATCAGTCGAAGTTGCTATTTAAAGGAAGTGCCAAGCGATTTTACTAGCGACGCTAGAGCAAGCGCATAAGCAAGGGCAAAAAGTTGCGCTTGCGTTGTGTTTCGTTTTCCATACCAAAATCAAGAGCAAGAAAAAAGGAAAAAAAAATTGATATCTTCCGCTTGCTGCTGCGCTTGCCYTATCACTGCTTGGCGATTTTTAAAACCAATAGAATTAAAGATGACAGCCTTATAAGTAAAAAGGTTAATTGCCTACTTTTGATATTTTATCGATTGAATAATAGAACTGAAGTCGTGGCTACGGGTAAGCAATACATTATCCTTTTGCAGTTTCTTTGGAGTCTCAAATTCTTTTCTTTTTAACATCAAGAAGTGAGCTAGACACAGACGTTTTCCGAAACGCAAAATCATGGTGCATTGTGGTTATAGGGACTCTGAGATCGCAGGTGGAATGAAGTTTCAAAAGTTTTAAAACAAAAATAAAAAAATAAAAAACAACTTTTTCAACTTTTTTTCACAACTTTTAGCGGTGATATACATCACCAACGGTATACTACTTTTCTCGATTTTCACGATCTGTAAAAAAAAAAAAAATTGCGAAAGTCAACAGGAAATTCTTTAAAGAAAATGAAACTTTTAATATCGTCCCTCGGCCTCTCTTCCCTAATGAAAGCGTGGAAACGAGGCTGCAAGGGAAATTCCCAGAAATGGCGTCGCAAAAGAACAGCCAAGTTTCAACAGGTTTCAAGGGTATAACACGCTTTTACCCTGACAAAAAACCATCATATTAATGCCTCGACATTGCATCAAGCCAGGATGATGGATGATAAACTTGATAAATACATATTATTGAACGATAGAGTTGGTGAATACAGGGAAAAAGATTTGCTATCGAAAAATATCCCTATCAAATTTCTGCGAGGAGAACTCCTAGAGGCTTTCATCGAAGCTGATCAGCCGAAAAGAAAGAAGAAGAAAGACCCCGAAAACATCGCTCTTACCAGAATAGCAAAGAAAAATCAGCGACTAGAATGTCCAACATCCGAGGTAGCAAAGCTCACAGACAGTGAAGCAGACTTACTCGTGGCTGTMWGTTCTGCCGAGGAGAGGTTTCGTATCTACCGGGAAAGAAATCGTTTGGAATTGGCAAAGTCTTTAACTGTTGGCGATAATGTTTTAGTTAATTTAGATAAACCCCTAGGACATGTAGAAGGGATAATTCGGTATATAGGAACACTGCCAGGGAATGTTGGTAAAATGTTTGGCGTGGAACGTCTGGACAAGGTAAGTTAATTGATATTATTGCGAATGTATGTTTTTGTTTAAGTCATCAAAACTGCATTTAGATTTGTTCAATAATCAATCATTTTGCCCCTGAAGTAATTAAAGTGGCCAATCAGATAAGGGAAATGTCTGTAATTTATGATGTTTGTAAAATATTTATTAAAATATATCAATTTAAAAAAAAAAAAAAAAAAAAAAAAAAGATAAGGGAAATGAGTATATATCTCACCTTATCAAGGTGGATTTGGCAAGACATGATTATAGGTACCATCTCAAAAACATGCAAAACATATTTTTAATTTGTTACATACTTAAGCTAAGCTTACTCGATTTATATGCAAACAATTTGTGTATACCAACAATGAGTATATTAATTATTAGTATAAACATACTAATGGTCTATCACTCATACTGCGCTGTGATTGGCTACTCTACTAATGGTCTAATTTGTGATAGACCACTCGCGGGAAAATCAAAATAAATAAATTATAAATTATAAATCATTTTAAGGATATTTCAATTTTTTCATTATTTGACCGATTAGTATGTTTATACTAAAACAATTAGACCTCTCGGCCTCGTGGACTACGAGCTAATAGCCCATTCGGCCCCACGGACTTGGCCTCATGGGCTATTAGCTCGTAATCCACTCGACCTCGAGGTCTAATTGTTAAATAGAGTATAGAATTTGCACAAAGTTGCTGTCATGAAAAGGGTCAGGGTTTATAGAGTTACCATTSGAATGTCCCCATCTGAATTTAGCTACTTCCTGGCCTTGGGAGTTGGACAAGCTCAGTATAATTTCCAACCTTTTTTAAGTACATAAAAGTAATTAATAGATTATATGTGTCTAGATTATATCTGAACTGGTCATATTATAAATATTCATAATCATGTACTGTATCCTGTGCCTATAGGAAGCCATTGTACATGGAACGACATATAGAACCTTTGGCAATCAAGGATTTTTTGATTGTCAGGAAGACTGTGATGTTTTTGTGGCAATGGACAAAATACAACCAGACTTTTCAACATCACCACAAAGGGTTGTACAATCACCACAAAAATCAAGCGCAGCATCATCTGCAATAAGCTTAGGGAAGGTACGCTAATTGAAGGGCTGGAGTTTTCAGAGTAATTTTTCCAAAAAAATGTGTGACCCTCCCCAGTAATTTTAAAACTAAACTTTTGACCCTCCCCTCCAAAGTGCCAAGAATATTGATGACCAGTTGATTGCCAGTTGTTCATCTGGATATGTCATAAAAAATGACTATGGGCACTGATTAAATGCACTGTTGAATTTATGTGTTCTGGACAAATTCGTACAGTCTTGACTGTGGTTATGATTCCCAAATGTTTACTGTTTATACAAAATAGATTTTTATTATGAGCTTCAAAGTAATGTTTACTAATGTGATATTTTTGTATGTTTCAAGAAACAGAAACTGGGATTTAATGGTACAGGAAAGTTGAAGGAAAGGCAGCTGTTTGTCTGCCAGGAAGGTTATGCGACACCTGAAGTGGACTTCCTCATGGGTATGTAATTTTTATATCCCTTTGAGCTTAGCTGCATGTTTAAATTTCATATAAACTATAATTTGGCCACATGATGTGGGATGTGCCTTGCACGCAAATCCATACTACCAACTCATTGGACCTGGAAACAGGACCTTTTAATTGTAGTGTTTATCATGTTTACTAAAAAACGTGCAATCTCGCCATTTCAACCAATAATTAAAAATCGTCAGGCAATGATGTTCAAAAAGTCATTTATCAAAAAGAGAAAAGTTTTTTTCCGTCTTTTCTTTTCCTCAAAAAAGTTCCTAAAACTCGGGGTGCGGCTTATCTACGAGAGAGGCTTATACATGGGTAAATACGGTAATTCTATTTAGACTCATTTCAGCCCAGAATATCCGAGTTACAAACAATCTGCGTATGAACATAATAACAATTAAACATATTTGTTAGAAAATAATGAACGGCAAGAAATCAGTATGTTGACAGTCGAATACCTGGATCTTATGGGTCTTGAGATTGGATGCATGGTTGAAGTACCCATGACTAATAATAGAAGTCAGTATGGTGTGATTAGATGGATTGGCAAACTACCTGATTTGAAAGATAGAATTGTAGCTGGTTTAGAGCTGGTCAGTACGATAGAATATATTTTTTCATAATTATTCATTGTTCTTTTTATGGAAAAGAAGCATTCAAAGATCCATACATCCAATTCTTCACACATCCAATTCAATCATCCACTCTTCTAAACATTCACCATTTATTCACTTATCCATCCATCCATCCCTCCAAACATGCTTCCATTCAACTATAGTCATCCAAATAATAATCCATTATCTAGTTATTTTATTGAAATTATTAATCTTTTCCATTAGGAAGAAGAGCAGGCTTCATGTAACGATGGAGTATTTCGTGGAATAAGATACTTCACTTGTCCTCCTGGGAGAGGATTCTTTGTGAACTTGGCAAATTGTAAAAGAGATTCACGATTCACAAGCACAGGTAAGTATACCTGTAGAGCCCTGGCAAGCTTCGAGGTGTGATTATCCAACACCACCACTGAAAGATATTGTTAATTTAACATCGTTCAGTTTTCAGAAACCTTTGATTTCCCAAACTGAGTGTCAAAGACCATGAAGCATTTATTTGAACTGGCTTTCTTCATAGGCAACCTTTTATTTAACATAAGAGCTGTTTTCTGTGTCTACTTATAACGTCAGGAAGATTGACGAAGTGATCAAAACAACTAAACGTCAGGCAATCGATTTCGATTTCGTCTCGGTTTTCTTTTAAACTTGGCCAGATTGTGCCTTATGTCTTTTCCTGGAGATCTAGTAAATAACCTGTTGATGGTGTTTCCAGTAGCAACGTCAATAAAGCGTGTGGGTAAATCGTATTGAGATTTACTATTTCATCCAGTTATTGTTAATCATACACAATGTCATATAAACATAATAGACTAAAGTTTTCAATCTTCTTATTTAATTTTGCAGGGTTTAAAGAGGCCTTTCTTTTGACTGGCATCGTCAACGGGGAGGTGATTGCAGATCGCAATAGTGAATTCCAAGCTCATCTTGCCCATGTCACCTCATTAAAACAAGTTGAACAGGTTTTAGCTCACTTGAAAAGAAACAGTAGGATTGCAAAAGCAGCAAATAACATGCTTGCTTATAGGATTTGTTGCAAAGAGAAAAATAGTTATCTTGAGGAAGGTCGTGATGACGGCGAAAGTGAAGCAGGAAAAAGGCTATTGCACCTGTTGCAAGTATGCAAGGTAGAGGATGTAGTTGTCATAGTAACTCACTGGTATGGAGGTGTCTGCACTGGTCCTGACATATTAAAGCACATTAATGCTTGTGCACTGGATGTGATGAAGATTGCAACCGAAACGGGATTGATTCGAACTGGTGCACCTACTGAAATCATTTGCCGTGGTCCAAAGGCCTTGGCAGCATATCAAAATGCCCTCCTGAATGGGACGACCAAAAATCGACGATTATTTTTGATGCTGATCGGACCGTCCCGCGCTGGCAAAACAAGTTTACTGAAGTCCTTTAGAGGTGATGAGAAGAAATGTGTAATTGATTGTATTAATTACGAGAGTTTTTTTAAGAATTACATTTATTTCTATTGTAAAAAAAGTGATTGCTTTATCAACTTCTATTTTTCCTTTTTTATTTAATCTATTTCCCACTTGATCAATGTACAGAATGTATGCTATGGAAATTTGACTTCTAATTCTTAACTTCTATGTTAGGAGACATTTTTGACCCAAACGAAGATAGCACTGATGTTATAGCCTTACATCGCTATTGTTGCAAGTTGATAGACGCGACATGGGCGAAAGATAGTGATAATGTAGACGAAATATCATTTGAAAGCGTCATGTCTACGAGCGTTGCAAAGAATTATCAAACAGAGGAAGAGACTCATCCAGGTGTACACAGAGAAAAGAAAAGTTCTGGAAATTATGATGATGTTACAGACATTGATTATGAAGTAGAGAAAGAAGCTGATCTAGCTGTGGACAGAAAAAAGAAGAGATCTGCAAGTACTGATGATATCATAGACATTGATAACGAAAAGAAGGAAGAAGCCCATTTAGGTGTAATCACCATGGAAAGAAGATATGAAGACGCCGACGATATGGAAGGACATGGAAATCCTGAAAACTTAAAACCAAAAAGAATAAGGAAACAACATTTTCCTCTCTCAATTACAGAGACTGTTAGGAGTGTTGATGATAGTCCACTCGATGCTAGAATTCAGGAAAAGATACTGGATGCTCTCGCATATCGAAAGGCCGCTGAAAGCGATGATATTATTTGTACAGCATTAGATATTGGCGGTCAGCCAGTTTACGACGTGACTCATCCGCTGTTCATTTCATCGAAAGGCATTTTCATTCTTGTTCATAACTTGGAAAATGATRCGTATAGCCTTTCTGTACCAGTTGTAAAAAAAGGAAATGCATCTAGAACAGTAGGTAACAAGTGTCTTATGACATCCATGGATCATCTAGAATTCTGGCTGTCATTCGTGGAATTAAATGCAAATCATCAAACCCAGTGCAAATCTACTGAATGTGAATTGATGCCAAAGAAACTACCACCTGTGTTCTTGGCATGCACACATGCAGACAAACCATTTGATGGACAAAATGCTACTGTAATGTCAAGAGAAATCCTCAAGCACTTGAAAAGGAACGATCACGCTCCTGGGGAACACGTTGTTTCCTCCCTTTATCTCGTCGATAACACCGTTTCAGGTTTTTCTGAAGATGAAGGTGTAAGAGAGTTGAGGAAAGACATTTGTGAAATTGCAAAATCTCTGCCACACATGAACGAAGTTATCCCAGTAAGATGGTTCCGATTTGAGAAGGAACTTGTATCTCTTGTTGAGAAAGAAAAGTATAGATACTTGTGTATAGAGGAAGCAAAGAAGATCGCTCTTAAGTGCAAAGTTGATGTCGAATCTGATGAGTTCCCCACTCTCTTAAACTACCTTCATGACATAAGAGAGATCATCTACTTTAAAGGCACAGAAACTGTCTTTATAGACATCCCGTGGCTAGTCGGCATAATAAGTAAAGTAATCGCCGTTGAACCTGTTGAGAATTGGCGAGAGAATCAAAGAGTTTCATGGACAAAACTCGAAAACGAAGGAGTGCTAGATTTATCCCTCTTGGAATATGTATGGAGAGAAGTAGCAGATGACCACGTTACCATTGATTCTCTATTGGTGATCATGGAAACATTTTCGCTTGTTTGCCGCTGGCATACTGCTGACAAGGAAGAGGTTTTCCTTGTCCCTGCTATGTTAATGAACAGCAGTGCCCGAGATATTGCTGAGCTGCTAAAGGACCAGATGCCACCACTTATTGTGTATTTTCCAAGCTCACATCTTCCTCTCGGTATCTTTCCAAGACTCCAGGTAATGTTGGCAGAACTGTGTAATTGCAAGTGGTCAAATGCGAACCAACCAACGTTCCATCACAATTTTTGCAGGTAAGTATTTTTAAAAATCATGAGTTCTTCAGCATCACTTACGTTTTTTCAGCGTCTATAGCTTGTTCTTACTGAATGCGTGCTGCTTTTCTGCTTCTACCAGCTCTCATGGTTGATCTTGTCTTTACGACTGACTTCTACCCTAACCCTTAGCCAGCCGCCCTTGTGAGTCTCCCTTCTTGACGCTTCCTTTTACGGTAATAAGATGCAAGATGCATATTCGATATTTTTGAAAGTTTTTTCTTCTAATTTTAAAGGTTTTATAACGTTGGTGAAGAAGAAAGCTTTGACTTGGTGCTRACGTCAGACATTCGAACTATTTATATTGGAGTTATAAATAACAATGAAGCTGACGACAAGAAAGTCACTGACTTTTGCCAGGAGATCATTGATTTCCTTAAATCAAAGCTCAATGTTGACATGCGCCAAGACTTCCCTTGGATGGAAAGGATGAAGTATAAACTCTGTRTACGTTGTCCAATTTGCCAGCCGTCTGCCGACTGCTGCCTGCCTCACGTTCCAGGRTGTGTCAGCCCGTCATGCGTACACTTCATCACAGAGGAAGAAGTCTTGAAAGCCAAGCATCTTCGCTGCTTGAAAAGTCCAACTTGTACGGACACCAAAATTCCTTACRAGCACTTTTCTCACTGGTTCCCACAAGCAGAAAAGGTAAGCAGGTTACGCAAAACTTACATCTCCGCTAAGAAATTAATGCAGTACTCTAGCAGTACACTAGTAGTTTTTTTGCGATTTCCAAATACAAATTGAGCTCCTTTCATTTCAATAATTTGTGTCTATCCATTACTTCTATGAAGTGGCTGACAACAAAATTATTCAGATGCAATCATTAAGATTGTCCCATTAGTAACCTGTYATCGTAAAAGACTTGAACAAATAGACCTTTCYCGAAATCGCTTGGATRTCATAATTTAGAAAAGAACCCTACAGACCCCATGTTTTGTTGATGGTTGTTCAAACGCCGGGTGCAAGAACCATGCTTAGTGAAGCTTCCTATTATTGTGTTACTGAATAAAACGGCCGCGAAGCAATTCTGCAATTTGAAATTCTGCGTGCAAGCAAGAATRCAATGCCAAAAATGATCTAACCTCAAACTTTGTTACTATAATTATCGTTATTGTGGTTATTCTTTGTAGTCGTCTCCTTCCAAACCAGTCCACGAGGGTCCTAAAACAGCCCCAGTTGGCTTAATTTCGAATACAGGTAGCATCTTTTGTACAATTAAGTTTGTGTTGATTGAAGATTGTAAGATTGAGCTTTTGTTGTAGAAAAAAATTAATTGCTATCTTGGTACAAATACAGCCTTTTGCAAAAATTATGAGAATTGTTGAAATATCTAAATATCATAATATCAAGTGCATGATCCCGCGCGATGCCCTTAGTCCCTTGTCTTTGTTGTTTAGTTTTTTTTGGCGACGGACTTATCCGTAGTTCTGAACATTTTCTCGATGTCAACAATGAATTATTCTAGCAAACCCGCGTGTTCCGGACAATATATGGATATGGATATTATGATATTTAGATATTTAGACAATTCTCATAATTTTTGCAAAAGGCTGTATAAAATAATATATGATAAAATATGAAAATAGATTCGATTGTTTTATTATTGATATGCTATATTAATCATTTTCATCAGGGCCTTTATGCAAAAGTGAAAATAGCAAACGCTGGGTTGTGGTTGGTGTTGCTATCATGACGGTGCTGTTGCCTGCCTTGCGAAGTTTTGTTCTTCCAAAGATTACCAAACACTACAATGATTTGAGAGCCAGTGACAACATTGACACTCAACTGTATGGAACACGTATTCTTAAGATGGATGGCACATGCAAACTCAATTATGAAAGCATCAACAACAACGAAGGAATGAGACCACCACTCTTCGACTACAAGGTCAAATCTGAAGTTGATTTGGCAAAATTGTATTTGAAACCTTTTATGGCGAAGTTCTCCGGTTAGTTTAATTATTTTTTTTTCATTTTTTCTTAAAACTAGTAATTGAAGATTTAAATGGAAGGGATATAAACACGTTGAACTGCTAGCKTTTCAGTTCAGAGTACACGGTCTCGAAAACGGTAAACGCTTTACGTCGAAYAACCCAAGGATGACAAAATACGGCTATACGGTACTACCACGACRAGGATTCAAAATTAAACCGACACAAAATGGAAAACATTCACACTGAAAATTAAGGCATTTGTTCGGTACATATTCTATACGGCTACACATTATGACTCATTCGCTCGCATGAAAATGGGYAAGTTATAGACATTAATTACTCAGGTTATTCAAGTTTTCCATCATGTTACAGGGATTGACGAGTCGTGTGACCTGTCGGCTGTTCTTGGAATATTATCCTCTTCCAGTGTTTTTACTACGGAGACGCAARATGCCGCGAAGGACGTCCGACAACACGTACGTAATGAGTGGGGTCATTGCAATTTCTCAAAATGGGATGRAAAGAAAATTGATGACTGCTTTAAATTCATGGATATCCTGGTGAAATCTCTAAAAYTGGCTAATGACAAGGAAAAGAGGTTGTTGGAGGAACTCAAAGAATGGGAAACGAAAGGTAAATTGGTCAGAGCACATTAAACTTTGCAAGAATTTCGGTTGAATGTTCGGACTGCTTTAACTGCATTAATCTACGGGGAAGCAAATGTAGTTTATGMTATACGTTAAGCGATGTTTGTGAAAAACCTAGCCAATCATTTATCCATTCAGTGACCCATAACTTTATGTATTCTCATTTTCTAGGTGTTCCTCTATGCTTTGGCAGCCMAGTTGATGCTGGCCTCTGGAACCTCGTCCACCAAAATGTTGGCTGGTTACTAAAKGAAGTACAATCTCTTAAGGAAAAAGAGGCTGAAGAATTTCAGCGGGTTACCTCTGTTCTACAAACGTTTCAGCAGGAATTAAAACAGATTGTCGGACGACTCACAAARATTGAAGAGGGCCAAGAAGACTCTTAAACAATGATAACAGCACAGCTGTAGCAAGTGATGTGAAGACACTCAAGTCYAAACAGTGAGGCTGTGAAYGTGTTTTGMAAATAATTTGTGACACTTTCTAATTCCGCAATGAAAATGCTTTTAAGCCAATGGCTTCATATTGTACAAAATGTTCTAAAACACCAATATTAATGTAAATACGCCAGTGTAGAAGAAGGCAAATAGAAAAAAATATTATATATAAATATTATATATATTTTTATAGCAATTGTTATTTTTATGTAAAACCTATATCAGTGTAGAGGAAGGCGAATAGAAGGAAATATTATATTTTTATAGCAATTATTATTTTTATTGTTTA